CAAAGAATGACCCTCTAAATACCCAAAACCCTAGACCCTAAAACCCTAAACCCCAAAAACTAAAACCCTATGGTGAAGAACAACCCATGTACCTCTGGTTGCAAGTAGACATGGAAGTGCGAGGGCCTTCTTTGCTCCGCAACCGCCCGTAAGAAATCTGGCCTGAAGGCTCTGGGAGATTAGGCTTGAGGGCCTCGGGTTGGGTTTAGGGCTTGGGCTTAGGGTTTAGGGTTTAGGGTCTAGGATTTAGGATTTGGGGTTTAGGGTTTAGAGTTTGGGGTTTAGGGTTAAGCTCCTAGGGCTTTGAGCTTAGGGCTTGGGCTTTCTTAGAGCTCAGGGGTCTGAAGGCCCCAAAGCAGATATCCGAAACGATGTCAGCCTGACTTCCCTGTTTAGGGCTTATAAGGGTATTTTAGGGCTTAGGGTTTTAGGGCTTCTAGGGCTCCGAGTTCCCTGGTGACTGTGAAACCTTAAGTCCCCAAAACCCCCCGGCCCAAATCCCTAAAACCCTGGACCTCTCCCAAAACCGAAACGCCGAAGTGCCAGGATTCCTAACAAGTCCCACAGTCCCAAGAGTCCTGGACACCCGAAAAACTCACCCGCTCCCGAAACCCTCTTCCTTTTAAGGCAAAAGCCTTCTATATACATAGGGTTTAGGGCTTAGGGAAAGGATTTAGGGTTTAGGGCTTATAGGGTTAAGGGTTTTTAGGGCTTAGGGTTTGGGGTTTAGGGCTTAGGGCTTATAGGGTTTCGGGTCGTCCCGTAGAGTCGGAGTCCAAATGGCACCAGGCAGGCAGGGGCCACCATCTCGACCAGGGAAGCCTGGAAAACACAGGGTTTCGGGCTCCGGGCTTCTAGGGCTCAGGGCTTAGGGCTCACGGCTTCTAGCGTTTAGGGCTCAGGGCGTTTGGGGTTTAGGGCTCAGGGCTTTTTAGGGTTTAGGGCTCAGGGCTTTTAGGGTGTAGGGCTCAGGGCTTCTAGGGTTTAGGGCTCAGGGCTTTTAGGGTTTAGGGTTCCGGGCTTTTGGGGTTTAGGGCTCATGGGGTGATTCTGATGATTATGATTCTAATGTGTGACGGTTTGTAAAGGATTTTGTGCTTACGGGCGTTTGGATTTACACGAGTTCTATGGGGGGGATGTGTCAAAGCTGACTTCATCATGGATGTGAAAACCCCAAACCCGCTATGAAAGAAAAACTCTTGCAGCTCCTTTGAATTTTAGGGTTTAGGGTTTAGGGTATTCAGCCCCCAGCTGAACTTCTAAACCCCCGGAGCCCTCTCAAAACCCTTGAGACCCTGAAGAGGCCCAAGAAACCAAAAAGATCCACCTGAAGGCGGCTACCCCAAGCCTTCTAGACCCTAAAACCCTAAACCCCTAAAACCCTAAAACCCTAAACCCTAAATCTCATACCCTAAAACCCCCAAAACCCTAAAGCCCCAAACCCCTCACACCTCAAACACCCCAAACCTGCAGGGCGCCTGGGTGGAGATCTGGATGCAGGTCAGAGAGTCCGGCTTCAACTCGGTGCTGCCATCCAACCTTTTTCCGTGGTGTTTAGAGTGTCAAAGGGCTTAACCCTAAACCCTAAACCCTAAACCCTAATAGGGGCTTCAGGGTTTTTGGGGTTTAGCTTCAACTCGGTGCTGCCATCCAACCTTGGAGGCGGCTTTTGGTGGCGGTTTTTTCCGTGGTGTGCAGGGGGTGTCAAGGGTTTTAAGGGCTTTTAGGGTTTAGGGTATAGGGGTGCGGTTTACAAGGGTTGGGGCAGTATGGGGCTTGAATTCGTGGTGCGCCGCATGGAGACCTCTGGCATAAGGTTTGGCCTTAAAATCAAGCCCCTGAACTACAGGAGGGGAGTTTAGGGTATGCAGGGCTTCCATAAGGCTTCTATGATTTATATAGACCTTCTATAAGGCTCCTATCACGGTACCTACCCACCGAAAATGTCCTAGACCCTAAACCCTAAACCCAAAACCCTAAACCCCTAAACCCTCAACCCTAAACCCTAAACCGGACTTCTACCCGATGGCACCGGTGCAAGGAACCCAAGTACAACCCGGACGAACCGCCTCAAAAGCACCGGGAGCCTCTAGACCCGAAGCCGTCGAGCCTCCTAGATCCATAATTAGGGTCCCCTTTCTTAGGGCCTAGGGTTTAGGGTTTCAGGGTCCCTTTTTTTAGGGCTTAGGGTTTAGGGTTTCAGGGTCCCTTTTTTAGGGCTTAGGGTTTAGGGTTTCAGGGTCCCTTTTTTAGGGCTTAGGGTTTAGGGTTTCAGGGCCTTTTTTAGGGTTTAGGGTTTAGGGTTTTTTTTTAGGGTTTAGGGTTTAGGGTTTAGGGCCATAAGATGGGTAGTTCTCTAACCTTAGGGCCCCTTTTTTTAGGGCTCCTTAAAGGGATCTATAAGGCTTTCTTTCAGGGGTTCTATGAGGATAACTATATGGTTATATGGGTAGTTCTCTAACCTTCGGGTCCTTGTTCTAAAAATTAAGGGCCCGCATTAATTCTACGGCACCCTTACAAGAAGGACCCCAAAAAAGGGACCCTAATTTAGAGAACCACCCATATACGGGTCTCTTTAACTAGCAAGAGCCTTCCACGGTAGTCTCTGTATGATGAGACGAGATGTATAGAAAAGCATCTAGAACCCCTTTAAGATACAATTTCAGACACAAACTAACACTCCCTCCAATAAAGACAAATAGGCACTCAACGAAGCTGAAACAAGAACCCTCTCTACAAAAGACCTAAACCGCGAGCCTCAAGGGACCTTAACAAAAGCCCCATACATCCCGCCCCATAAACCCGAAACCCTAAAAATCCTAAACCCTAAAAACCCTAAACCCTGACACCCTAAACCCTAAAAACCCTAAACCCTAAAAATCCTTAAACCCCTAAACCCCCTAAAACCCCCTAAAACCCCAAGCCAAGACCAAGCCAGTGGCAAGGTCTTCCCCTGGGAATCCTTGACGCTGAACTGCCTGGCGGTTTAGGGTTTAGGATTTAGCTGTTTAGGGCTTTTAGGGTTTGGGGGTTTTAGGGTCTTTAGGGCTTAGGGCTTTTAGGGTTTAGGGCTTTTTGGGTTTAGGGTTTAGGGCCTTTAGGGTTTAGGGTGTAGGGTTCAGGGTTTAGGGTTTAAGGTTTAGGGTGTAGGGTTCAGGGTTTAGGGCTCAGGACCCTGCAACTCCAAAAACCCAGCCAAAGAAAAAGACGCTGAGGGGTTTTGGGGGTTGATGTGCCATCCTCCTGGGTTCAAGGGTTTAGAGGATGTTTAAGGTGTAGGTAAACCCCGGAACCCTAAACGGCATATTCTGGTCTACCTCTATGAAGGGAACCCTGAGGGACGGTACTTCTGATTCTTCCGGCCCTTTATTGCTCGGGAAAATGTGTTTTTCTGCATGACGACATGGCAGCCACAAGCCTTCCCAAACCCTAGACCCTAAACTCCTAAAACCCTTGATCCTACACCCCTAAACCCGGAACCCTAAACCCCTAAACCCCTAACCCTGAACCCTAAACCCTAAACCCTAAACCCGCTTCACCTTCCAAGCCCAGCGAAGCCCGAAGCTATGGAGCGATCCGGATGCTCCCGGATATGAAACTTCATTCAGCTAATATAGAGGTTTTGGGTTTAGGATTTAGGGTTTAGGGTTTCGAGTGTAGGGCTTAGGGTTTAGGGTTTAGGGCTTAGGGTTTAGGGTTTAGGGTTTAGGATAATTGAAATGGATTTTCGAAGTAGATTTTATTCTATCACTATAGCAAGGAACCCACCAAAATAGTATTGGCAAGTCTTCAAGGCCCCCTTTTTTTCGGATCCTCAACCCCTTTCTTCAGGATCCTTCCTCAAGCGTTCCATCCTGCACCCGAAACCCTAATTGTTGCCTTTAGGGCTTTGGGGTTTAGGGTTTAGGGTTTAAGGGTTTAGGGTTTAAGGGTTTAGGGTTTAAGGGTTTAGGGTTTAAGGGTTTAGGGTCCAGAAGTCTTGTGACAATCGAAGGAAGCAACCATGACACCGTGAGCTCGTATCACACCCCAGGGTTTGTATAGAAGGGTCTGTTTGGCAAGTGCGGTTAGAGTTTTAGGGCTTAGCAAGTGCATTTAGAGTTTTAGGGCTCATTTGGGGCTTTGCAAAGGCTTCATGAGGATCGTTTAATGTCTGTACAATAATCACTTCAGACGACTTGAGACTGAACACCACAAGTGTGCCATCTCATATTAAACCGATTATACTACACTGTACTATATTATGTTATTATATGATTATAAGAGTGCAACAGGCCTCTTCACTTCTGCGACCATTTCGCCCGCGGCCTGCGCGAGGGATCAACAAGCTGGGGCGGGCCTGGGTTGGCTGCCCCCTGGATAAAACGAACCCGTACCCGATGCAGCTCTAAGCGTGAAATCTGAAGAAGAGAGCCCTCAGAAATTTCGGTCCCATTACGAAGAGCCGTGCTTTTCAGCCCTAGATAGCAGCATCTGGGGCTGTGAGTAAGTCGGGTCCAAATGGTCGTTGAGTTGAGATCCGAGGGTGCTTCCCCAGAAAGGCTGAGGGTTGAAGAGTTTAGGGTGTGGCGTTTGGTGTTTAGGGTGTAGGGTTTAGGGTGTAGGGTTTAGGGTGTAGGGTTTAGGGTTTAGGGTTTGCATTTTGGGGTTTTAGGGCTGGACAGGGTCACAGTCCATCAGAGCAGAGTAAAGTAGCTGTAGCTGTCAATCGATAAACATCCGAGTCTATGTCTCGCACTACTCATCACGAGCACCTATCAAGCCTCATAAAATACCGACAGAGCCCCAACTTAAATAGCCCTACCTTACATGACTCTGACGGCGTTCGAAGTCACCAAGCGCCGAAGAATAGAGCCCTTACGGGGCTGGAACATGAACTGTTTTGGTTTTTCGGCCATCATAATCCTGTAGAGTCCAACCCCCCTCTTCTGGAAGGAAGGACCCTTGACCTCCTGCAGGACTACGAGAGTGCAGTTGCTTGAGGTATACGTATAAGATTCTGTCCATCAGCAGTACCACCGCGAAATCCTGTTAAAGGCTGGCTGAAGCGCCGATCTCGGGTCTCGATGTTGGGTTAGGGCTGCGAGCAAGAACATGCGACATGGGCCCCTTGCCTTGCCGACGGACTTCATGGTGAGGGCGGCGAACCAGTAGGGGATCATGCAGCCGATGATGAGGAAGGCGAAGGTGACGGGCTCCAGGATGTTGACGCCGGTCTTCACGCGCAGGCGCACGACGAAGGCACCGTAGAGGGCCAGGGAGACCAGGGCGGCGGAGCCGATGGCGAAGCCCTTGCCGATGGCCGCGGTGGTGTTGCCGGCGGCGTCCAGGGCATCCGTGCGGCGGCGCACCTCGGGGCCGAAGAGCGCCATCTCCGCGATACCGCCTGCGTTGTCCGAGATGGGGCCGAAGCCGTCGATGGTGAGGCCGCAGGAGAGCGTCGCGAGCATGCCCAAAGCCGCCAGGGCGATGCCGTAGAGGTCGCAGAGCTGGAAGGACACGAAGATGCCCGAGGACAGCACGAAGACAGGGACGATGCAGCTCTTGTAGCCCAAGGCCAAGCCCTGGATGATGTTCACGGCGGTGCCGAACTTGCACGCGGCGGCCAGCTCACGAGTGGGCACGTAGCTGTGGGAGGTGAAATACTCCGTGACCAGGCCGATGATGAGACCGCCCACGCAGCCCATGGTGGCACAGATGAAGCACTTGAAAGGGCTTCCGGTGATCTTGGCCGGGTGTCCGTCCTCAGTCAGACGCACGCCCTCCAAACGGAACTCCGGAGGGAGCAAGACAACTGCCAGGTAGTAGATGACCGGCAGCATCAGGAAGGCGGTGAGCACCATCTGCACCTTCAGCACAGTCTCGATGTCGCCCTCCTCTTTGACGGGTGAGATGTTGGTGGCCACAAAGCCGCAGATGATGCAGATCACGATGCCGGTCGCCGAGATGGCCAGCGGGAAGAGCATTGAGTCCCACCCGGCCTCGGACAAGGTGTTGTGGGATCCGGAAACTGCGGCCGCCGCGATGACCAGTGCCGCGCAGGTGCTCTCGGCGAAGGAGCCGAAGAGGTCCGCGCCCATGCCGGCGATGTCGCCCACGTTGTCGCCGACGTTGTCCGCGATGGTGGCGGGGTTGTTGGGATCGTCCTCATCCAGGCCGGCAACAACCTTGCCGACCAAGTCCGCACCGACGTCGGCGGCCTTGGTGTAGATACCTCCGCCGACACGGCCGAACATGGCAACGGTGCTGCCACCCAAGCCGTAGCCGGCCGCGCAGTCGAAGAGGATCTCCCAGTCGTCAGCCTCCGGGTAGATGGTGCGGTAGAAGCTCAGCAGCATCCAGAGGATCAGAACACCCAAGGAGCACAGCGCATAGCCCATGACGCTGCCGCCACGGAAGGCGGTGTTGAAGCCCAGGGTGTAGCCGCTGTAGGCGCAGGCCAGGGTGGTGCGGGCGTTGGAGTAGGTGGCCACCATCATGCCCAGGAAGCCACAGAGCATGGAGGTGAAGGCTCCTGAAGCCAGGGCTTTTCAGGGCCTTTCGGGCCTTTTGGCCACGGCTTTAGGGCTTGGGATGTTATGGGCTTGGGGAATCGTCTTTGGGCCATCTCTTAGAGCTAAGGATCGATCTGTCCTGCAGGGCACCGAGACTTGTAGGTAGGAAGAAGGAGAACTGTGGTGAGAAGACTAATTAGAAAGCTTCGGTGCTCCAAGAGAAGAACAGCACTGGAACAACAGCGGCGGAAACAACCCCGAAACCCCAGAACCGCACACCACGAGGAGCTGCCACTAGGCATTAAAATCCGGCACCCACACGAAAACCACCGCCTAAAAACCCTAAACCCTAAACCCTAGCCCCCAGAAAGGGCAATCCTGTCAAGAAGGCGCCGGCAGTGAGGTGGCCTTGCAGGGTGTCCTTGGTACCCCAGGACCTGAGCTCCAGGGCTTAGGGCCTTTAAGGTTTAGGGCTTAAGAAACTTAGGGAAAATATGCACTTACAACATATAGTATATATATATAATATAAGATGTTCTCTATATACATATACATAAATATATATGGGTAAGTAATTATCCCCCCCCGTGCGTTTTGCATGTTCGTCTGCTTTGGGTGTCGTAGCGTACTTGCACGTTGCCCGTATCCTGGTCTGTTTTTTCGAAACCCTTCTCTGTTTCGAAACACCCCGGTTGCCCCAACCCATTAACCCATTAACCCGTTGACCCATTAACCCATTAAACCAATCATTCTGCCCAAATGGACTTGGGAGGCCCCAACCCATTAACCCATTAACCCATTGACCCAATAACCCATTAAACCAGTCATTCTGGCCAAATGAACTTGGGAGTGGGACCCATCCCACTTGGGCAAATCATTGCATGAATGGGTCAATGAGTTGGGGCTACAGCGTACTCCCAAGCCCATTTGGCCAAAATGATTGGGTTAATGGGTTAATGGGTCAATGGGTTAATGGGTTAACGGGTTGGGGCCTGCCAAGTTCATTTGGCCAGAAAGATTGGGTTAATGGGTTAATGGGTCAATGGTTAATGGGTTAATGGGTCAATGGGTTAATGGGTTAATGGGTCAATGGGTTGGGAGCCTGCCAAGTTCATTTGGCCAGAATGATTGGGTTAATGGGTTAATGGGTTGGGGCCCTGGCAGGCGTGTTTCGCGAAACATACGTTGTGTTTCGAATCGCACGCCTGCTCATACCCCACTGCAGGTGAAACATTACATAACGTAACAATTGTTTCATAAAGCGATCTGTGCATATGGGCAGGCCTCTGGCGTTACGAGTGTGAGAACAGACAACACAACACACTGATGCTCAGTTCGGTTCAGCAAGTTGTCAATAGTCAAAGTGCCAAAAGGCAATAGGATCCTTAATTCATGATATATTTCACTATATCAAATTAAATTATGTTGCCTTTTTTGCACAATGTTCGAAATATGCTCTACTGCAGACTATGCTAGAGGATAGTCTATACTACAGACTATATGGCACATTATGCTATAAACCATGGACTACCTTCAGACTATACTGCAGACTATACTATAGACCATAGACTCGACTATAGACTGTACTCTATGCTCTGCTAAAGGCTATACTACG